AACAGGATCGATGGTTGAGAGTTTTCACCCAGGAGCAGCTTGCGCCTGTGCCTGCGCGAGATCTCTTCCAGCCCCTCCCCACTGTCCCTGCTGCGGTGCCCAGCCAGGGTCAAGGACAAGCCTAGAGCCAGGGACCGGAGAGGAGAGGCACCTACCGCTGGGCAAGCAGGAATAAAAATGAGGAGAAAGGAATTTTTTCTCTTGGTTTCAGGCCTTTCGTAAAATCTTGGGGTTGTCATTTCCTGGGATTTCTACTTGCAGGTTTGGTATGTTTCCAATGCCAGTGCTCCAGCCGCAGGCTGGGACAGTTCTGGCCCCAGCTGGTGACAGCAGCTCTGAGCGACAGGGATGGGTCCAGCTCCAGCTGAATTCGAGTCACCCCTCAGCAAAGGGTTCTGGGACTCGATCATCATGCCCAACTGTCCCTCTGCCCATCTCCAGAAACAAAGTAAAATGAGGCAGCACATGCTGCAGCGTTACCGAAGCAGAAATATTTCCCCTGGGAGCAGGAGGGAGGAAGTTCTTCCTCGAGAGAGCGTTCCTGCTTCAAGGAAACAGTACAAAAAGCAGCCCCAAAGGATAGATCCCAAGATTCTGCAGATTTCTCTAATAAAAAGCGCTGATGAGTCCAGAAGAGCAGCCCCGAGGAGATGATTTAACTCATTTTTATCAAACTGACAGCACCCGACAAAGGCTTTGCCATTGCAGCAAGGCTTCTCACAACAAAGTTATGTTCATTCAGATACAAAACCCAACCTACAGCATCTACAGCGCTCATCCCACGGATACAGACATGGACGGGAGCACAGGATTGAGCAGTCCACGGATTTAAACACAAACCCCACGTCACGGTGAAGACATCAGCTGGCAAACAGTTCCCCAGGGGCATGCGCAGGGAGAGGCAGGAGGCTCCCCATACACCTCATCATCCCGCCCGATGGGGTTTCTAAGGACCGAGCTGCACACACACAGACACGGGTTCCTCAGCCCTTTGCACACCGAAACCGCAGCCGCTGACACTCGCCCGTCTTTGAACAAGTGAAGCCACAAGAAAAAGACGGATCTGAGGTGAGAACCATCGAGTCGCCGTGTTTGCAGCGGACAGCCCCCACAACGACCCGCAGAGACGGACGGAACCGTCCCCTGGACCTGCCCCAAGGGCTGTGCCGAGGGCTCTGCTCGCCCCGAGACCGGTGCACAGAACACGAGGGTTGGTGCCGGTTCCAAAGGGGGTGTGGGGAGAACACGAAGAGCACACCCAGTGCTCTTGGAACTGGAATTCTGAGCTGACGTTTTGCTGTTAATAGGAAATTGTTTTGCTAACAGTCCGTTGACTCTGCCGTATTGAACACAGAGTGCAAAGCACGGCTTTGGTGCTGCACAGAGGAAACCACCAAGGGGAGAAGAGAGAAAGATGAGGATTTGGCTTAAAGTCATTCTTTCGATCCAACCTGTGCCACAGACACAGAATTTAAATTGGAGAAACAAAGTTCTATCGGAACCTTTGCAGAGTTCCTCTTAAAGCCTAGAACAGAGCTGGAGACACGATGAGGCTGAGGGTCACATCCTTCCCCAACACCCGCAGAAAGGTCAATGAACTCCTCGGGGTATTTCATCCCACGTCCCCCTGGCTCACACACAGCGTCGTGCTTGGTGCTGGCATGAAGCGTTTGCAGAATGGAGCAGTGGGATGGCTTTGCAGTTTGCAGGATTCTGAAGACCACAGCTGCTCACCTCTGGCTTCTGGAGAGCGCCAGCAGCACGTACGCAGGTTCTACCGAGGATGCGCAGGGGTCCCGCGAGGGCGCAGGGACAGCGCAGACACAGCTTCCATCTGCTGCTGGCAGCTGCTGCAGCCCCGCAAGGCTGAGGGGCGAGGATCACCTCTGGGGCTTTAGGTGACACGCTCTCACGGCCTAAAGGTCTAAATCGTTGCCAGGTTAAAGCTAAGGGTAAAAGGAGACACATCTTCCCGAAGCAGAATCTCCCGAAAGCTCGCTGGTTTGCCTAACAGGGGGAAAATAAACCCTGAAAATGGAAAATGCAAGAAGCCAGTAAAGGCAGACATTTATTCCACGCTAATACCCAAAGATTTACAGACACTGACACAAACACAGAAACAAAGAGATTCTCTTCTCACCTGGAAGGACAGAAACGCCCCCCGCCCCCCAGAAGTGCTGCCCACCTCAGTACTTCTGCAGGCTGTAGGGCACCCCGAGAACCGGTTTGGCACCCGGGAACGGCGGCGAGTTCCAAACCGCAGAGCTCGTGCGCTTGAAGTAGCGCGGTTTGCTTTTGTGAAAGATGTCCTCCAGCTTGGGGCTGGGGATGGCCCCGAAGAGCGCGTCCACGTTGATGGGGTTGTAGTACTGGCGGATGACTGCCTGGTTGAGCTGGTTCCCTGCAGAAAAAAAAAAAAAAAAAAAGGTTAAACTGTCATTCATTCATTTTTTTAATTGAGATTGCTGCATAGGCTGGTTGTATGCAATGTGTCCCTGCTCTCCCCATCTCTGATCTCACTGAGATCACAACTGGGGAAGTCGCCAGCACTGGATGTTCTGGAGCAGCCGTGTAAGCCCGAAGCTTCAGCACAGACCACCTGGAGGGCGAATATTGTCTGTGCTGAATCCTGTCCAGGAACCAGAACACATCTACAAGCGGCAAGGCTTCTCAGCCCTTCTCCTGCAGATGCCATCAGCTTCCCCACAACACCCCAGCTGCCCCGGGGCAGGTGGAACGTGAAATCGCGGAACCAAGTATTTTGGAAGCAGAACAGCAGCTGGCGTGAAGCCTGGCCCACGACATCTGGTGTCACTTCGCTTTTTCAAGCCAAACCAACCATGCCGGCTCAAGGCCAGAGCACAGTTCATAATTGCCTTTCGCACTGGCAAAACGACACCAGCATCTGCACTAAGGCAGCTTAAACGAGGATTTGCTCACCGACATTGTGGCAAGATCCCCAGTGGCAGAGGAGGCCTGGCTCAGCGCTCCAGCCACGCTGCTGGAGATCAGCGCTTCTGACTGCGGCGTGCAAGCGGGAGGAACTTGGCAAAACCTCACACCAGGTCGTACCACCCGCCGGAGCCCAGCTGCACAGGGCTTGTCGGGGGACCTCAGGACAGGTATCGGCCTGTCCACACGTACCGGTGGCCCAGGCAGGGACAGGCTTGCGGGGCTGGCTTTCATCATCTGTGGAGTCGTCACTGTTCAGATCCAGACCATAGTTGTTCGGATCTACTATCGGGGGCTTGGGCTCCTTCGGACCCTGGGGAGTCATCTGGTAGGAGCTGCAGACAGGAGAGTTCTGGAAGACAAACATTCCATAGGCGTGAGATGCAACAGCTCTGCGACGGCCGAGCTGCAGTGAGACGCTCGTCGATGACACCTCCACGTTCCACCTCCTGCTTTATCGCATCGCTGCGAGCCTGAGGTCTGGCAGATCTAAAGTTTTGACCCAGGAACTTGACCCAAGTTCTGAAGTTTTGACCCAATTACACCTTTACACTGCCTCCTCCTGCTTAATTAGGCTGCTTAATTAATTGGCTGTGTACGGCATGAACGAGCCAGCAATACTAAATCTAACACAGAGACAGCCGTTCCGTTCAGCTCAAGCCAGGCTGGAATGGAGTTGTTACACCCTCCAAGCCAGAGCAGAGTAACATGCTTTAAATACTCTGCAGCCCACCCCCTGGGCTCGTTTAATACTGAGCTGAGCATGACCCTGTAGAGAGCACGCACGCAGCGGCTCAGGACAAACCCTGTCGTAATTCTGCCGGGAACGGCGTGACTGAGGGAAATGCAAGTGACAAAGAAAAACTGAAAACTGCAAATTTCACCGGCCATGAAACATAAGTCAGCCCTTAACTACAGGGATGAGTATCTCTAGAGAGTGGGGAACAAGCTTTCCTTCCCCAAAGAGGCTGCCTTCATGGCTTTGTGTCCATTAACACTAACCCCTGTTTCACTGGTTTTGCATTTAAAGATTAAAATACCGAGCTCTGGGAGGAGATAAAGATCCACACACGTGTCTTCAGCATTCAGGCCGCGTACCTCTCCTCCAGAGCTGCTCAAGGTCCACGGCAGCGAGGCCCCAGGGCAGCACCGCTCCTCAGACTCTGCTGCCGTCCCGCGGCTCTTCCCAGCTTTGAACTCCAGTCACACCAGTTCAGCAGCCCCACTGCTGGGGGGTTCATCCAGCGCTTCAACACCTCCAACCTTTCAGCCCCTGCCTTTTCCTGACAACCGGGAAACCCTGGCAAAGGCTCGCCTCTTCCCTTCCCTCCATTTCACTCCCCAGAGGTCAATGAAACACTCGAGGCTGCCAGGAGACAGCCTCAGGCACCAGGAGGAGTGCTGACAGCGTCCCTGTGTTACCAAAAGGGTAAAACTGCCCAATGTCACAGCACGGCAGCGCTGGAACCAACGTTCTCTGATGTCATCCCTTAAAGACACTTCAGAGAGAGCAGAATTACCTCTTTGTTCTCTAGGTGCTCTGTCTGGGCTCTATCTTTAGCCTTTTGCTCCCCTGGCAGCTTCTTCTGTTCTTGCTCCTGCCTCTCGGTCTCTGCCAGCCTCTGTTCCTCCTGCTGGCAAGGGCAAGCCACGAATTAATCAATCTTACCAACGAACCTACGCTGGTAATCCAGGGATCCATTTTTTTGATATGCAAAAAAAAAATATCTAAGCATTTAATTGCAAGTTGGTGTTGCTCGCGGATGCTGAGGAGCGCTCTGGACACAGCGCAGCACCAGCCGCCCTGCAGCAGCCTGAGCTCTCCTCTTGAAGCAGAACAAACCCACCCACCTCCCCACCCGAGACGAGGGCAGGAGCTGCTTCCTCCAGTAACGCAAGGACCTCGTGCTTGGAAAAAACTTGCTCCTGACTTTATCTTCAGGATATAAAGATCAGAAAGCAGTGACCAACTGCAGGTGGAAAGTCTGTGCTGCTGATCTTAGCCCCTTTTTAGCCCAATAAACCCTATTTTCAGAGGCTGAGTCATCCCGTTGTACAGTAACTGTCCCAAAAAAAGGTCGAAAATCTCACCCTGTGGATGCTTAGTTTCTCCTACAGAACCTAAAGGAAACCAGAGGCTGCTGACTCAAGCAGTGGACATCGAAAATCAATAAACCCCAGCCAGGCTCAGCGGGAGGACAAGCTGCACAGGGGTCTGCCACCAGCAGCCCGTCACCACACGAAGCTGCCGGACAGAGCGAGGAGCTTGCTGGAATGCGGGGATCCCCATCGAGGGGTTCAGCTCCCTGAGGGCAGCCGGACAACCGCTCAGTGTGCCAGTGCCACAGCACTGCTAAGAGGAGCAACGACGACTTCAGGCAAACGTTGGGCAATTTCCAACTATTCAAACCTCCTGTTCTTTCCCACAAATCCTCTTGAATGTGCAAGTTCTCCCAGATCTCATAAACCAAACATCGCTGCCTACTCCCAGCAATTCCTGTGTGCAAGTCCCCCCGAAGGGACGTTCCAAACGCCACCTGAACACCACCCATGGGCTGTACCTCTGCCCCGGTGAAAGCGCACGCTGCGAGCCAAGCCAAACCCGAGCCCGTGCAGCTGCAGCTGATTTAAACAGCACGGACTGCCCAGGCGTGAGGAGGTCCCTCCTCAACCCCACAAACGAAACCGCCCGCTCAGGGCATCCCTGCTGGCAGGACTGCTGCAGGAAACAACCCGACAAAGTCTACGGTCTGCACGCATGGTTGTGCTGAAGGCGGCACAAATGTGAAACCGAGACGCTGCTTCTGCAAAGTCTGGGACTGATTCCTGTTGGACCAGGAGAGGTACGGATACACCTGGGCACAGAGAGGGTGGAAAGCTGGACACCTCGCCTCAACGTGTGCGTGGTCTGTCCTCTCTCTTTGCGCTCTGCCGTCCTGCGAGCGCAGTGCATCACCTGGAGTGGACAGAGCGGGACAGGCTCTGGGTCAAAGCCCCTCTGGCTGGCTCACGTTCAGAAGCGCACGAGCTCGCTCATCGGGGTTTAACAGCTGCACAGCTCGGCTGCTCCCGGCCATAACCGCTGCTGAAGTCAGCTCCGTCTGGCTCTACCCACCTACCGAGTACTCACCTCTTCCTTCTCCCTCTCCTTGCGGAGCTGCTCTTTAGCAGCCAACGCCTCCTTCTGCAGCCGAGCAGCCTTCTCCCGCTCTTCGCGCAGCCTAAGAACCAAACCGACAGACCATTACCCTCAAAACCCCACAGGGCACCCTCCCGTCCGGCGCCTGCAGCACACCCCTCCTCTCACAGCTCCTCAGGGGACTCCCCACCAGACTCCCCACATCATCCAGCCCAGAAGTTCTTCTCAGCAGCTTGGTACCCGCGACGGGCCAGAGCTGCCCTGACGGCACAAAGCAGCTCTTCACTGCTTGGGCTTTTCACCAGTGTCCTCTGCTCCTGCTTCTCTCCAAAGCCCCAGCACAGAATTCAGAATGTACGTGGATGTTGCCTTACTTTTCTGCCTGGATCCTCTCCTGTTCCTTCCTCCTCTCCAGCTCTCTCTCTGCAGCCAGCTGCTTCTCCCTCTCCAGCTCTGCCTGTCTCTGCTCAGCAAGCTTCCTGGCACGCTCCTGCTCCTCCTCCTTCCTCTTCTGCATCAGCTCCCGGTGCCGACGTTCCTCCTCCTCCTGGTAAAGCCCAACAAGGCAGTTACCCACCTCACCTCGCATAGGAACAGGCTCCGGGTTAAAGGAGCAGGAACCACGGCATTTGGCCCAACTCTCCAGAAGGGAAACATCTCGGGGCTGAAGCTCAGAGCTCTCCAGGCAGGCACAGCACCTCTCCAGCAAGTTCAGCGCTGGCCCTTCCCTGCCCAAAACACACCCCAAAGGGCATCACGGCCCCAGCTCTGGGTCTCCCAGAGACAGGTTTAACCGAGAGGTTTTAACACTTGCTGACCCACCAATCAAGGTCTTTAGCAGGAATCTGTCCAGAACGGTGGCCGAAACACAGGTCACAGCCGCCACTGACGGCTCGCCGCGTGCTGCAGGAGGACGCACAACCCTGCGCAGAGCTTTAGGGACAAAGCCCCTCCACTGCTCTCCACTGGGTCGTGCTCGTGCTCCCACTGGGTTCCCCCGCTCACAGAGACCGTGGCAGCCTGCAGCCGTTCCAACCGCCCGCGGGGTGACAGCGCCAGCACTGACCTGCTGCAGGGCTTTTTGTCTTCTGGCCTCTTCCTCGTGCCTGCGCCGGGCCTCTGCCTCTTCCATTTTCTTGGCAGCCGCTTTCTTTCTGATCTTCTCCTCTGCCAACCTTTCCTCCCGCACCTACAACACACACGTAGCTCGCTGAGCGCCGCAGCCTCGGGTGGGACAGCTCCGTGACAGATCCCAGCAGCAGGTCACACACGCAGAACTCCCACCCTCTCCCGGGGCAGAAGCTTCACTTTTTTGCCGCCAGGAGCCAGGGGGACCTGTGCTTTATTTTGAAAAAGGTACGGTATTTAGGGAAACAGCCTTCTTTCACACCTCCCCAGAAAGAGCTGGTCCCATGCTGCTGTTTGTGCATCTGACACCAGCAAAGCCATCAGAGCGTATTCTCAGAACCATGAAATAAGAAAAGCAGATGGAGATAATTAAAGCAGACTAATGACTGCTATGGCCACGTGTGCAAATTGTCGGAAAGTCTCAGACACAAGAGAGGCTCTGGGTGAGGTATGTTTATTTTCTCCTCTCCATTAGTCAGGCGGGAGAACAGCTTCAAGCAGACAAACCCTCAGGGCCATCAGGCTGGCTTTATCTGCTTGAGGTTATTCTCCCACCTGACTATCAGAGCCTCAATAAAGGCGTTTACGTTCATAATTCTGGAAAATAAGGGGTTGCAGCTGCCATTTGCTGTAACCAGGAGAAAGGCAGTTCCTCAGCATCACCAGGTTTCTGGAAAGATCTTTATCCAGCCCTTCTCCAGTTCATTCTCTAGATTTCGTCAGCCTCAGTTCCTCCCTTTCTGGAGGGCACACGCGGCATCACCCGCTTCAACGGATTATTTATTCTCCCAGATCACCTCTGCAGGTACACTGGGCCTTACCTTCTCAGTCTTCTCGTCGAACAGAGCAATCTTCTGCTCAATCCGCCTCTTTCTCTCCTCCTCCATTTGCTCTGCCCGCTCCCGAGCTTGCAGCACCTTGCGCAGGCGCTCCTCACGCTTCCTGCAGGACACAGCACAGCTCGCCGCTGAGCTCCCTACGGCTCAAATACAGCCACAGGCACAGCTCCACTGCCCGATACACCACTCATCGAAACATTAGCAACGCTTTTCAGCTCCACCTGAGACAGAGGAGTTCAGACGAAAAGCTGAAGAAGCCGTCAGCAAGGATAGTTAACATTTTATTGGCATTCCAGACAGATACTGCGAGAACAAACACTGTCCTTGTGTTGCGAGAGCAAGCCAACATGAATTTTTGCCGCGTGTACGGACTCCGCAAGCTGAAAGACCCAGAGAGAGGGACCTAGAGGTGCACAGAGAGCAGTCCCGACATGGGAGAAAGCAAATACTCACAGCTTTGCCTCTTCCAGCCGCCGTTTCTTCTCTTCCTCCACTTTCTGTTTTCTCAGATGCTCAGCTTCTTGCTTTTTCCTCAGAGTCTCCAGCTTCTGTCTCTCCTTTTCCTGCAGTGGATTGAAACGTGATTGCACCCACCAGCCAGGGCTTCTCCCTGCCTCAGCTTGCTTGGGTCAGGAAAGGGCCCAGAGGTAACACTGAGAACCGCAGCCGGAGCCGCGGGATGTAACCAGCCTGACACAGAGCTCAGGCAGCCCGTGACAGGGACACGGGTGTCTGGGGACAGGCGTGACGGAGAACAAGGCAGCAGGGTTAACCTTGGAGAGCAAGAGGAGGAGCCGGGCAGCTGGGACAGAAGCAGCAGCTCCTGAGGTCCCGGCAGCTTCTGCAGAGACCGCAGACAGACAGCGCTGCCATTTACGCCAGTAAAAAGAACCCAGAAAGCAGCGCTAACGCGTGGCCACGATCCCAGCTTCCTGCCGCGAGCGCAGGCAGCAGAAGGTGCCGGAGGAAACACCCCGCTGGCTGCAGCCCCAGCTCCCGCGGGCGGCCCCGCTGCCCACAAAGCTTCACCTCCCAGTAACGCACCAGCGCCCAACTCGGACGGAGCGCTCACGGCTTGTTCCGAGCACACAGCCACCCCGTGTGTCACCCAGACAAACGCAGGGCGTTCGCCCCATTCTCCAGAGCAGCCCGGCTACCCCAGCCCCAGCGTCCTGTCCCGGCGCTGGTCACAGCAAACAGGGGACGATAACCTGACTTAACGCTGGATGTGACACTGCGGATGCCCAGTGGTGACAGCCCTGATGAGCACAGTGAAATAGTCCAGTGATCGCCCTGCACTGGGCTCCGTGCTGTAAACAGCCGCTGTTATCAGTATCAAACCGGCTAATTTAAAAACAACCATTACACCTCAGCGCTCTGGGGCTATTTCATGTTTAGCCCCCACACAGAAGAAGTCCTGAGGGGAAGCCACCCACACTGCATGAGACCAAAGATAGAACCACCAATGAACCAACAGCAGCAGAGGATGCACCAGCCAGGACCTTCCCATCCCATCGGCTCCTTTGCCCATACAGACACCAACGTCAGAGAACAGCAGAGAGACCGGAGCTGGAATCCCTCACTGCCTCCCAGCGACAGTCGTCCCGTCTCTGCTGGAGCGCAGCGAGGCTCCCCGAGCAGCACAACCACGGCAGCTCCCAGCAACACCAACAATCCTGATTGGAGGTTGCCAGACAGAAGCTAGATGCAGGAAAACCAGTTTCTGGAGCACACCCTCCTCCCCTCCCCAGCCCTCCTGACAGCAAAAACAAGCCCTGGACCCCCTCACTCTGCCGGCCACTCGCTGGGTGTCAGTGTCACAACCTGTGCTCTGCGTGCCAGCTCCAGCACGTCCCTGGGTGCACCCGTGAAGCGACACCCATGGACTGTCCCGGCGCTGTCAGAGCTGTTCAGGAACAGGAACTGCAGCACACAGACCAAACCTGGTGCTCCTTGAACATGGATTTATTCGAGTTAAACACCAAACCCAAAGGCAGAGGAGGTGAGAGCCAGGGCTGGCCATCAGCGACACAGGCAGTATCCTACTGCAAGCCCAGCCCGGTTAATTAAACGATCACAACTGACGACCAAACTGCCCTGCGTAAGCTGCCCGACTCCCTTTGGAAACACACAACCAGATCTTCCCAAATCCCATCCACCTGGACAACTGCTCTGTTTGGGGTGCGGGTGCTGTGAACCCCGCTGTGGCACTGCACAGGCAGACATCAGCCTGTGGACAGCACAGGCGTGGTGCCTGTCTCTGCTGGTTGCAGCAGTTATCCTACGTTGGTACAGATGTTTGTTAGTTCTGGACACTGGCACACTTCCCTCAGGGAATCAGCAGCCTGCTGCTCAGGACAGGCTCACGTTTCTTCCTGCTTCAAAGGCCTGAAAAACCTCAGGACATCAGCAGCTTAGACTGAAGAGGCATTTGCTCAGATGTCACCTGTTAGAAAAGTCCTGGAAAGGAGACTTGGGATGTGCAGGCTTCAGCTGTATCTACCCCTCAAGTGCAGTATGCCAAATCCCTTGATTTTCCTTTCCCAGTTTTCATTCCCGATAACACCACAGGGGAATGCTGCAGCAGTAAAGCTTAGAGTCCACGTTAGAACTCCAGGAAGCTGACTAATCACTGTCTTGTTTAGTTTCTGAAGTGTAAACAGACAGCTCAAAGTTACTTCTTAGTCTAACGTGGGCTGAAAGGTTTCTTTCCTGCCTGTGCTTTAACTTGGACACTCATCAGACCATCCCGCACTGGCTGAGAGCAGAGCCCTGTCTTACCTTGGGATCCGCCTGGAGAGGAGTGTTGTACCTGATGAAGGATTTTATCACTCCATTTCTGCCCACAGAGCTTGGCGTCATGAGGAGCTGGTTCTTCTGCACCGTGTGCAAGAACGTTTTGAAAGGACGCACCACCTGGGAGAGGAACGCCAAAAAACGATCCTCAGGAGCGTGAGGAAGAAACAGGTCCTGGGGACGCGCACCGGGGTCACACCGATCTTACTTTGCTGGCTGGAAAGGTTGGGGAGGGGGTCTTCCTTCTCAGAGGAGAAAGCCCTCCATCTTCTGCTTGCTGATGGTCATAGCGTTCGTCCACAGCTCTCTTGTAACTTGGCTTTCTCCTGCGAGAAAAATACAGTCTGTCACGCACGGCAAGCCCTCCTGGTTGTCTCAAAGCCGGGTCTGAAGATAGACCATAAAGCTGCCCTAGGTTAAGAGATATTACAGTGTGTGCACACGTAGCTATCCAACAAAACATTTCTAACGTGAGAGAAGATACAAATTAAATCCTCTTCTCACAGAGGCAGAGAAAACCTACTGCAAAGTTTGTCATCAAAACACACTGAAGCCGTTTAACAACGTCTCAGCCTTGAACCTGCTTGGAGCTGTACTACAGCTCTCCAGAGGCATCTTCCAACCAGAAGGATTCCACCAACACACCTGGCACTCTGGGGCGGTTCCTGGGTCTTCTCGTTCTTATTCATGTTGTTTTCTGAAAGAAAGCAGTTACACAGTCAGCTCTAGTGGAAAAAAAATCCCAATGCAGCTTTGAAAGCAGACAGAGATTTAGCAGATCATTAAACAGCAAAAACCAAACCCTGCCATGAATTATGCACAGCAGGACCGTGCTGCTTTCAGCAGGCAGCCACACAGCACCATCCAAACCCAGAAATGCAAACTAGCCGAACTGTCCGAAGTGACCCGCGGCGCCCAGTCTGCAGTGACGCCACGCTGTCGTGCTCTGCACGGACACGGCGCAGCTGCTCGCGTCAGAAACGGGATTCAGCCAGCCCACCCCTGACCTGAGACATCCCTCCATCCCCGTTACACCCATTCCCGTGTGCTTCCCTGGGTGGAAAATAACTCCAGCACAGAATCTCCTAACCGCTGATCTCTCGAACCAAACCCTCGCTTGTCAAAGATTAGACTAGTCTTTCCAACCGGGCTCTGCAATTAACTAGCCAATCTTTCAAACCTCCCGGTCAGCCTCCCAACCAAGCAGTGACTTTTTAAAACTCTGCCCCAAAGATCCTCTGGAAGCTACCGTTGCTGCTCGGCTCCTGCGGCTGCTCATTTCTGGTGACAGTTCGAGAGCGAAGGGACATTCGCGGACTTTGGGGATCCTGTAGGAAAAGCAAAGGGGTTTCAGCAGAACTCTCACACAAACAGCCAGGCACGGTTTCTGATCACGATGCCAGTCTGACGAGGACACAGCCCATAATGTCACCAAAGAACGCAAAACCACCCGCACAGCACGCAGCACTGGTGCCAGCAGCCAGAGCCATCCTACCTTCCAGCTGGGAAAACATCCCAGCACACCGCCGGGGTGAAGCCCCTGATGCGGCGCCAGCACCAGGAGCAGAGACATTAACCGAACACAAGGGGCTGCAGCGAGGGATGCGCTGCGGAAACCGAACACACTCATGAACAAGGACAAAAGCATTTCCAGACGGAAAGCTGTTCACTTGCCAGACTCCTGGCAGAGTCAGGCAGCTCCTTTTCCTTGGTGGCGATGAACAGACAGACAGGGAGACAGCACAGACAAACAGCTCATTGCCCTGATCTATCTGTTGGTGATGAAGGGGATGTACATTGCTATTTGCCACCTGTGCGTTTACACCGGCCCAGCATCACTTCTGCTCTGATAATGGTTTTATGTGTCTGTGGGAGAGCAGCAATGGCTTTTGAAATCCGCACTCTGCCAGCGATGCATTAACACCGCTCCCCAGGCACGGCTGGCTGACACAAAGTAGGGGGAAGAGGAGGAGTACAGAAACTTTATCCTCCCTAAATGCTTCTGTAGGGTCCTTCCCGCAGGCTGGGTATAGGAAGCACCCGGCAGCCTCACAGGACACAGATCTGATTAATTCGAGATCAGCCCGGAGAAGAACCTGACCCTGAAGCGCCAGGACGCACCAAGGGACCTGTGTTCTGTAGACATCGGTGATTTCTGATCAGGAAGGCTGAGTCATCACGTTTCACACTGCTCACAGCTCCCAAAGGAAGCCTCCGGCAGAAACCAAACTAATTTGTTTTGCTGAGAAAACGGCTGATGGATGGATGGAGTAAGGCAACGTGGTGACACAGGCTGCGGATGGGACAGGCTGCCGGGCACTGCTCCCACCAGCGGCAGGACAGAAAGACAAGAGGAGGGAGAGGATGGAGCAAACACGCTGCAGGGACTAGACCGCCTTGACAAATTCCTCAGGGCACAGAAACAAACTGCACGAGTCCTCTGTTCCCAGGCACACAGCGCTCCGGTCATTTTTCTCTTCTGTTTTCCCTTTAAGCTTTTCTACAGTTCTAACTCGGGCAAGCTAAAACTCCAGAGGCACTAGAAAAAGCTGAGTTTATAGGAACTTTTGCAGATCCACTGAGAAGCAGAGCCCTAACAGCAGGTATGAGCCTGTCCCTGCCTACAGAGGTGTTCAGGGCCACAGAGCTCCACTCCACTGATTCACTCTTTGCTTGCTTGAAAGTCATTCTGGACAGAACACAGACATAACCCCGGGATTTCCTCCTCAGCAGGGCACTGAATTGTGGAAGGTTGCGTTTTGACCTGAATGATGTTTACAAATTCCTGTGGTTGTCTTAAGATAAACTGACAAGCTCTGAATAACCTGCAGGACTGAAAACAGTCCAAAGCAGCTTTAAAAATACAGGAGTAGTAACAGAGTACAAACTCTGTCCGACTGAAAAAAAACCTCCCTGAAGGTTATTTATCGTTGTGGATTCAGGGTGAATTTTCACAGAGCTGATCTCCAGCAAGAGGCCAAGCAGCAGGAGCCAGAAAGCAGGGCTCCATCCTGAACGCCAGCGGTACCAGGGCCAGTGTTCAGCGTGGGTGTGCATCAGCCTCTCATTTAAATATATTTATGCAAAATGTCAGAGAGAATGCTGTTTTCTAGTCAGAGCTAGCCTTGGCTTTGAAAGCACCCGAGACTGTCACACCACACTGACACCAGACCTCTGCTTGCACCCGGAACAAGCCTTGGGCCACACGTGCTCATCTGCCAAATAAAACCTCACTGGTTTGGTTTTGCCGTTTTTGGAACACGGTGATTAAAAGAGACTTGGCAATCTCAGACGTGCTCTAGCCTGTGCATCAGAACCAGGAGGGCTGTGGGGAGGCTCGGGCACGTACGGGAGCCAAGCACTCTTTACTGGAGCATAGGCTGAGCGAGCCCAGCGAGCTGCGGCCAGAGCTCCCCAGCAACACGAGAGGTGTACTCAACACCTTCTGCTCACAGGTCCTTACAAACCAACAGAAATGCTTTTAACCTCTGCTCAATCCTTACCAGCTTGGAGGGGGTGCAAGGTCCAGGAGGAGACCTAGAAAAAGGAAAGAAAAAAAGCAGCTGTGTTTAATAGCATCGAGGAAAGCGGGAAGCCCCTTGTTATCCGCGGCATATCAAGGCACGGACTCTGCGTGCAGGAGAGAAATCACCCATCTCTGCTCTAATGTGATCTCATGCCAAAGCAAGCTGGTACTTTTCCATCCCGTGCCCTGCATGCGAGCGTCGACACAGCTCCTGCTCTAACAAACGTGTTTTGCAGTGCTCCCTCTGCTTGTTTGTACCTCCCATGGCTTATATCCACCCAGCTCAAGGGCATCACGCTCCGCCAGCCCCGTCAGGCTGCTTGCTGATCCCACAGTTATCTGCAAGCAGTGCGTTGTATACCAAGAACCTCACTGTAAAATATCCTCCGAGCAGGATATTAAGGATAAACAAATATCTTAAAGTGTCTCACCCTGTCTTGACAACTGTCTCTTCATCCTCCGGCACCAAGACAGAGCTGGTGACTGCAGGAAAAGAAAAAAAACCGCAGAGCTGTAAGGTACAGGTGCAGGCCAAGACTCTTTGCAGGAGTGCAGTTCACTCCAGACCCTTGCAGAGGTGTTTGCGCTGCCTCCGGGGCACTGCCTGCAGCCCGAACACGTGCCACTGCGAGTCAGGGCAGCTGAGTGTACCTCGGGAGCACTAGAGAAAATGCTGCCCGCAATTTTCACATAAGAAAAGAGACATTTCCAATTACAGACGAGTTCAGAGTCGCAGCGTATCAAAGCACGGACTCCTGCGTGCAGGACAGAGATCATCTTTCTCGTGCACAGTCACCCTCCCTTATACTATCTGCACTCTAACGTGATCTCATGCCAAAGCAAGCTTGTGCTTCTCCATCCCGCACCCTTCGCGACTGTCCACACAGACTGCTGCACCCAGACCGAAGAACCAGCCCCAGCCCCGTAACGGTGTTTTCCCCTCAGCAGCAAAAAGGAGAT